AGTAAAACACTACCTCAGGATGCTTCCATTTCTGGAAAGGCCTAAAAATTAATCAGCATGTAGTTAACAAAGTAATGTTTGGATTTGCCATTCAAATGACTTACATAAAATATTTTAATCAAAAAAAAACAACAAAATAAATATAATTTAGTTCTTTAGTAGAATGATGCACCACTCCATCCATAAAACAGCCTAAAGGGGGGCGGGGGGAGGGCAGGAATAAAGTCAAAGGCTTAAACTTATCCTTTTGGTGGCAGTGACAATAAAACTGAAAGATCTGCAAATCAGCTGATCCTGGAGGATGGCTGGGGAGGCCACTGCCACCTTCATTGACATTCTTCCCCCACAGCAATGTTGGCCTCGTGAACCTCTGGCACTTCTCCTTGGCAAAGTCAGCTCCAGGACCATCATGTTGCTAGGCACGCTGCAACTGAGTTTGAGATCTGTTAAAGTGATATTCCCACCATGAGCATCACCTTGGATTTAGAGATACAGATCCTCCGCATTCAAGTAGCAGCATTAAAAAAAATCCACATATTTATTTGTTTGGCTACAACTGTAATACGGAAAGATAAAATAGTTTCATGTTGAGAACCAACTGTGAGACAGTGTAAGATCTGATGCATTTCCCATCAACTCCATATCCTGTTGCAACAACTGTCTTTTTTTAGAGTTAAACTTAATTTTGCATACACAAGATGAAACAGGTAATGAAATAACTAATCATTACATTGATATACTTTTCTCAGCAACGCATTTCTAATATCAACCGGCAAGTTATTATACCCAAAAAGGACATTTTATTAGTTTTGCTGAGTGTGAAAACTAAGTGTGCTTATGGATATTCAGTTGTCAAACACTAATGAATTAAAAATAATCATAAAAACAATATGAATGCTATTTTTAAATGGTTTTCATAAAGTCTACCTATGAAAGGTGGCTCAATAAAGCAAAACACTCCAAACTTTTCAGTAGAGGAAGCACAAAGATTCTGCACAAAAATAAACCTAGCATGATACCTCATGCTTTCCCAAGTACAATTACAGAATGGATTCTTAAGCAGGGGGGGGGGGAAGGATCTTACTCTAAGACAATAAGCAAACTTTTAAAACACAGCATTGTGCTTTTCATTTTCATTCAGTTTTCTTTCCCTTTGAAGAACAGTATTTTAAGGAGAAATTCACTTAGCCATTCCAGAAAATAAAGCCGCACATAAAATCTGGTGAAGAAAAAAATTACTTTTCTGGTAGCGCTTTTGCTGCCATTACACAAGTTTTTTTGACTTTTCCTTAGGCTGAGGACATGAGATCCCAAAAACGGTAATGCAGTCAACCTTGACATAGCCTCCTATGCTTACGCTACAAGCGTAAGCATTCAAGAGAAATATAACGACACAACGTAAACTACTTGCACAAAGGACTTTTTTTATCTATGTATAGACAAAAAAATTGTTTTGCTTACCTATTAGGCATATCTCTTCACTGTAACCTTTTTATTTAATATTTTACATACGTTTTCTTCTCACGCTTACTTTTTTTTTTTTAAAAAAGGAACCTAAAGTTTTAGCCACTCCCTCAATGTATCTGTATATGAAGAGAGTTTATTACTACCTGTATTATCAACTTTATCATGTCAATTTCTTTGGTCAGTGTCTGGTCACCTATTTACTAGGTATTTCATAAATCATAAAGATCTTTAGGCACACAAGTGGGGTATGTACCCCAGATCCCAGCTTTAAAAGTCCCATTCTTTAATCAGATTTTCATGTAAGAACATGAGACTTTATATAATGACAGAATGAAAATCAAAAGTGACAGACTGGGGGACTGGAATTTCTATTGGACTTTTTTTATCCATTAAAATGTCCGGCCTCATAATTTTGGAAGAGAATTTAGCACCAGCTGGAATCCTCAGACAGCATTAGTAACACAATAAGAAACCTCCCTCAAATAAAATTTTAAATCATGAGTTTAGAACATACTTTCAAAAAAATTAAACACATTTACTAAATTTAAAAATTCATGTGACTGACCACCAGGTCAAATCCTGTCATCTTGCAAACAGCAAGAAGAAACGCAGTATTTAACTCTGCTGAGGATGTTTAATTTGACAGATTCCAGGAGACCAGGAGATTCGGATTTACAGAGAACAGGCTGAAGCGTGACTTTACAGCAACTGAAATTTGGGGTCCGGATAAGCAAATAAGTGTTCTTGCACCAACAACGTTAAGCCAATGTTTAAGAAACAAACCTGCAAAAAAGGGCAAAGAACCTAGGAAGCTACAATTTGTTTGCAGGGTACTGCATTTCTGCTATATCCTCTCCCTCCAACGACAGCCTGAGGAAAAAGGAAATCTTCCGTCCCACCTGACAACTCCACAAGCTCAACACGACGGTAGAGAGAAAAGCATTGCTTACTCTGCCCTTTAGGGCAAGAAGCCGGTGGGCTGGTGCGTAAACCTTGTGCAGCAGCCTCTGAAGTGAAGCTCTTTCTGATCCACCGTTTGCAGGCAATAAAGCTTCAAGTTGCTGCACATCAACTCCGTTTGCTGAGGCTATACAAGCAGGGTTCAACTAAGGCACTACCGATACAGATGAGTTAGCTTGTATATTTCTACATATTTGTAGTTACAGTACCATGCTAACAACGCATCTACTGCCTCCAGGCGGTATTGCTTGATTGTAATAAAAGGTTAGCTCAACTTCAAGCATTTTCTAGATCTTTTCTTGAATTTCAGGAGATGCCAACAAAAACCAGAAGCGGTAAACGGCCAGCTCTGGAGCACAGAAATATAACTACTTTATTGTATGAAATCAGCCCTGTGAGTTCTGAGAAATGAGATATTTCATTGTTCCTTGTCTACATCTTGCATGCTGAGGACCTACTAAGCAGGAAACAATGACAAAATAATGGCAAAACGAAAGGAATCCAAGTGATGTTTGTAAGAAGAGACGGGGTTACGCAACCCTACAGAGCAGCAGTCAGCCAAAAAGAGCCTTCCGAAATCAACAGCAACTTTTGAAAAGAAGGCAGCAGACACATTCCTGTAGACATGGAGCATTACGAGATACGTGCAAAGAATACTACTCATTCTTCCATAATATCTATCAGGGCTAATTGTCAGCAACAGCTCTGCTTAGCTAGAGGAATGTTTCAAGTCATATTTCAATCTGCTTTAAAGACTGTGCAATGCTAGAAACCGGTATATAAACGTTTAAGACTGCAAGTAAGCAGCTTTGAGGTTTGGACTTTTAAACCGTTCACTCTTGAGTCCTAACCCAAAAGAACTTTCACAGAGAACAGAGCGTAACATCAGGGAACTAAAGCCAAGGTTGGTTTTGATATACATAATACTACTTTATTCCATTGTTTCAACTTTCTTACAGGTTTTAAAAAACGTACAGGGGTTCAGAACCACCTCAACAGAACAAGGAATACATAATTAAGGGAGATCTAGAGTCAAACCACAAGTGTGCAAGCGTGGTTAGCTTCCATTACAAAAAGTAATAGGCACGATCTTTACATATGCATTTTGGTCAAAGAAGGACTAATAGTGCAGTGTTAAAAGGCACCAATAATCAATAATTGGGCCTTTTTTAAAAGCCAATAGCATCTAAGAAAATTACACGTGGTTCAAAATAATAATTTAAGTATTTTATTGATTGGCATGCATCTGAACCCCTGGCAATTTATTACACAAACCTAATGTGCGCCCTTGCAAAATAAAAAAGATTTCATCAGCGGACCTGAAAATCGGTTCAGTACAAAAAAAAAAAATACTGAAGGTGTTTGCCTGTATTTAACACTAAACTGTCTTGCTCTTCTCCTCCAAGAACACTTGTCTAACAACTGCACAGAAGTATTTCTCTTAAAGCAAGTGTAATTTTTTAATCCTGTAGCACTGACCTATTCCATGTGCTATGAAAACATTAGGCACAGACCACAATTTACGTTTTCTCTAAAAAAAAAAATACAGTATGTGCAAGCTAGGTTCACACAACAGATTAACAGCTACAACAGTAAGCTATTCAGACTTCCCAAAGAAAAGGGTTAGTTAGTTTCAATTTTCTAAGCAGTGATGCACACTGCTGTGTGCTATTATCATATTTGCATTAGAATTATCTGTGTAGCCAATAAAGGAAAAGCTTTAGTACACCCTAAAGGACACTACATCAATATTGTGTGCTAATTTAACAGGATCAAGAGAATGAAAGATTGAAGAAGTCATCGTACATGGGCAGCTGCAGTTAGCGAGCCAGCCAGGAAGGACTATTGCTTTCTGCAGGAAGAATGGTTTGAAACTCGGTTTACCTTAGAGGTACCCTCAAACTAAACCACTTGGACGCGATGGAATCCAGGGATGCACGGTATGGAAAAAAAGGGGAAATGAGAGGGAGAGCTTCTGTGAAAGCTGTACCAAAATGTGCCATTTTATCCAAAAGCGTCATGCCCAGTGAGGGTTTTATGCATTGCGGATTGTTTGTACGACTGAAAATTGTACAAGATGTGAGCAGAGACAGAGCTGATTATTAATCTGCAATATCTACTATAGTCCTCAGGTATATAATTTACGGATAGCCACTTACTGTGTTGTTGATTGTTTCCTCTTAAATATATTTAAATTCAGAAGGCTACAGTATATTTTGACACAAAGGTAGTAAGACAACTTTTCTACAAGGGGGAAAATATAAGGTAGTAACTAACTTATTTATTTAATGAGGAACCTCCTCTGATGTGGTAGTTATTTCATGCCCTTTGGAAGATTTTTAGTTCTGTCTTTCTTCATCGTCTCTGTCGAATTGCTCTCCTCACAGTTTCACAAGAGCTATATTCAAGTTCAGTGACCCCTCTTATAGCAGCCTTTTCCTTTTCCACAATCACTTTTAAACTCACTCTAACATCATAGTGAACTACTCAAGTAAACATTTCTCTTCTGGCAAGTTTCCAGATACAGCAAATACTATCAAAACTCCGTGTTTGATTACACGCACCAGTTTTCTTTAAATGGAGCAGGAATTAGCCCGTTTTCTTGGTTTAGGGTCCCGTACGTCCCTGTCTTTTAAACACATACAAGATGAACATATTGTCTCTGACAGTCTCCGCAGTCCCAGCCTGAAAACGCTGTTGGAGAGGCTATATATCACACAGTTGCAGAAACTATTGCTTATAGCAAGCCATGTCGTTAAGAAGGAAAGTGCTGGGTTTTCCAACACCCTCGAGCTCTCCAGCAGAAAGTATATGATATAAGGGAGCCACAGCACGTAGAACACACTGGTTATCCGAAACAAAACCATGGCATAGCGGCGATCGGGGCTGTGCCCAGTCTCCCCAGCAGCATCCACTTCGTGGCTAGGAAATCGAGCTCTCCGATCATTTATCTCTTTGGTGTGCTGCCGGCAAATTTTAAAGATGTGGAAATACGTGAAACATATGACAAAGGCAGCAGGAGCGTATAGTAAGCACACGATAAAGCCAGTAAAATAGGCATTAGTTAGCCAGGAGGTAGCACACCATTCAAAAATATCTCCATGGTAACCAGGTTTTCCCCAACCAAAAAAGGAAGGCAAGAAGATCAGACAAGAGTATATCCAGATCAAAATGATGCAGATTCTCAAGCGACAAGGTGTGACCAGTTGATTATAGGAGAGAGGCTTTGTTATAGCGAGATAGCGATCCACACTGATGCAAGCAAGACATGCCATAGATACGCTTTTGAGCACAGAGATGACATATCCAAAAACTTGACAAGTCAAGGACTCGTGGACACCTGTCGAGTAGTGAAGCAGTGACAAAGTAGGAACCAAGCAGCTAACTCCAACAAAAAGATCGGCATAGGCCATGGTCTGAATAAAATAGCTGGTGGTATAATGGTGCAGAAGGGGAGCACAGTGAAAAACAAATATCACAGTTAAGTTACCCGCAATAATTAAAAATGTTAGCAAGACAATAACAACTGTCTCAAGGATACAGATGTCAACTGCACTGTAGTGACCAAATCCAAGAGGGCAGGAGAGATGCTCAGATATGTTCATAACACTACTGCTCATATTCAGAGTCCTCCATTCAATCCATCGGGACTGGTTCATGTTTTGTGATTAGGGAACACTGCAATCTGAGCCTTAAGTGAGCAGATGACCTGCTTAACAGCAGCTAAACTCTGCTTCAGCGTCTCACGATCTCTCTTTGTAGACACTGCCAGTGCTTACATTTGAGAGGATTATAGTCCCATAGCTGTTGATGCCTCCTCAGCATCAGTGCATCACCTCTGGCACACCTTAGCTTTAAGGAAAGAAAGAAAGAAAGAAAGAAAAGAAAAGGAGAAGAAAAGAAAAAAAAAAAAAAAAAAAAGCCAGAAAGAGAAAGGCCACTGATCAGCTCCTCCAGTGCTCTTGACCAATCTTTAGCAAACACAAGGCACTTCAAAAACAAACAGGTACTGTGAAATACCGAAATAAAAACTGAAGAGAAACATTCATTTCAAAGAGGGGGGCAATCTCTAACTGCTTATTTTCCTGAGAAAGAAATTTACTTTGGAATATAATGGGGTGAGGGGGAGGAAGGGAAGGAGGAACCTCAGTACAGCTCAGGTTTCCTGGACCAGCAGTAACGGGAGATAATCTTTTTAATGCCTCAATTTAAATCACAGACTGACTGAAGAGTAGAGGAAAAAGTTCACCATCTAATGCTGTCTTTTCGGGCTCCATTCAGGAGATGGTACTCCGTCTTATCCATGCTATTCATTGGAAAGGTAAGGAAAACATTTTTGTCAAGGTTAATTCCAATAGACTCACCACTGTTTGGGTATGAATAATGAATTTTATTTGGAGGGAGTCGGGTGGGGGACAAGGCAGATTTGTCCTCTGACTCCCAAGAAAGAAAACATACATCTCACATACAATGAGGAAGATAGTGTCTATTCATTTAAAAATTAAAATAATTTAAGAATAGAATTTGGAGACTTATGTCAATATTCACAATTCCTTCCAACAGTTATAATCCATTACAATTATTAATGCCAGAAGCATAATTCAAGGTCCCCACAGACAAAATAAATCCTCCTGAATTTAATTTCAGCAATGGTAATTTAAAATAATCATCTTTGGAAACTCTGCCATATCTGCTACAGTGGCTCAGTACCCAGGAGTTCATAGGTATATCCGTGATATTGCTCACCTCTGTAGCTACACCTGAATCATTTCACAAACCCCCATGCAACGAGAACAGAAACTTCCATCTGCATTCTGCTGTGAAGCTAATGAAATGCTGATTTGACTAGAAAAGCTGCCATTGTTTACTACTCCATTATTCTGTTATTCAGCTTCATCTCCTACGTAGTTTTAGGGTTTCTATATTTGTTAGACGATCAGCAAAATAAATAGGTGCTTTAAAAAAATGTTCTTCTAATTGCAGGACATTACCTTGTTCATTTTATTTGCGGTTATGGAGAAAGCAAACGTTAAAAGAAAGCATCTTCTGCGTTCAGTTTTAAGTAAATGCTTGATTAGTTCAGGAATCATTAGGCAGGTAATTAATTGTATACAATCTTGCTTTCTGAAAGGCCCCTAAAATGTTAAAACCATCTTCAGTCCTCGAGTTCCTGAGACCAGAAGACTGGCAGTGAGAATTAATGAATCCACACAAAATGATCTCCAAGGTCATTCAGATATTATGCTGGCATTTGCTTTAAGTCTCTTTAAAAGTACCAGAATCTCTCTTGATGTTTTTGATAGTCCTTGCTGTGTCTTCAGGAGGAATTTCAGACGCTAGAAAAGAAAAATTCTCAATTCTGTTGCAGCAGTTTGAGAGACAGCATTCTTTTTGGAGTTAATTTCCTGTCGTGCATCGCCACGCTGTACAGAAAGTCCTTTTGATTTCATAACATCCCAGAATATTTCCGGCTATTCATTCCCTTCATCTATAAGCAACAGAGCACGTATAAAATTACTACTTTCTCTAATTCTCTGTTAAAGCAATATAGCAATCTTTCTCACCTACACGCATCCTTATCAGCCGCTCTGATGAACTGCTTGACAGGGGACTCCTAGCTCCTGTGGTGCGGCTAGAGCTTCTGTCGCTATTTCTCTCCTTCCCCCTTGAAATTATTGCTTGCACCTGAGTCCGCTCCTCCTCCTCC